AGCGCACAGATAACAACTCAACTGTTTTTTACCAAACGAAACGAACTTATTATGTATGAATGATATATAGAGATATATAAATGATATATACCACACAAAATAACTACCACCAAGAACAAAAACTCATGTAAAAAAGATCAACGAGGTGGGTAACGACGATAGATTTTTTCATGCTTATATTAGAACGCATTTTTGGAATTCTACATTTTATGTGAAGAAAATATGTTCCATATACTATACTACAGGGAGTGATTACCGATGACGTCACAACATCGGTAATAGCTGGGAAATTACAATTACGTCTTTCTTAAATTGCAAACTTACCACTCACTCGATTTTCATTTTGAAAAGTGGTACTTAAAGACATTAATTGACAACATCCCATGAAATGATCAGAGTTAAAATGACATTGTGTTTGAATTAGTAATTTTAGAATAGCAAGCCAAAAAAAAATATCATATTTTCGAGGTATCCCCTCTTTAAGTCATGAGTTCAATAAACATTTATAAACTTGGAATTAAACACAAAATAAATTCCACCTCAAATTTATGTTATTTCATAGTGTATAGAATCTTTTGACAATTAAAGTTATATATATATATTTGAGGTATCCACCTTTAACGCTTTAGACCTTTAAGATTTATTTAATTTCATAGCCTATTTATAGAACCTTGAAACAATTCAAGTAACTTATATTCGAGGCATCCCCCTTTAAACTTATGTGATTTCGTTTTCTATTTATAGAATTGCCAAACAATTTAAATTTTAAAAAGTCTATATATTCGAGGCATCCCACCTTTAAACTTGAGATTTATTTCATAAAAAAGCCGTTGATCAAAGAGAAGAACATGTGGTAGAAGGATTTACTACCTAGAGTTTTTATTGTATGTTTTAATGACAACCTACCAGGAACTGTACACGTATCATAACATCATCTCTCTTTTAAAATCCATTACTGGAAATGTTAGAGTTGAGACTTCATATAAAGGGATATTGTCGTCGAAATATTTCTTCATGCGGCTCATGGTTCGATGTTAGCAATCCGTATTCCTTTTCAAATTGAAAATTCCGACACATGGTTGGACAACGATTAAATAGAATGGACCAGCAAAACGGATTGCAGTGTACGTTATTACTATTTGTTTGAATTTCAATCAAATTTCCCTATGCAGAAATGAAATGGACGAAGTAGGTCTCGATGATTAACATTTAAGGGGCGTATTTTCTTGATTGATGGTTGCCTTCGTACACACATAATAGTTGGAATGGTATAAATTTGGTCTCTTTCTTAAAAAATCATTATACTGTTTCATTTGACTACAAAATGCACAATCGTCAATGATTTGGCCAATTTGGTTTTGAATATTAACATCTTTCGCATGGCAATGAAACGTTCTTGCACATTGTTGAATAATGCACTTCAACTTTAACATACGTCTTAAACACTTCGGTAGGAGGGTTTACCTTTAAGTGGCTAGTAGGGGGTAGTTAAATTTCTTAATGGCACTGTTAAGAGATGGAAATGAACCACGGCGTGCGTGTAGAAGGTGGTTTGTATTTAAATGAGGTGACGCTGTGAGTAACAGGAATTCTACTATTGAAGACTTCTGAATGATATATCTACCTGCTGTGATCATAGCAGGAATAAACCATCTAACTACACCTTGGCTCAAGTTTATTTAAATCCATTACAACTCTCTTACACTTCACTCTTCAAGCGTGCAATCTAAACAAGTGGAGATGTAATTCTGGCCTCTGATAGTGAATGAAATGATGCCAATAGACTGTGAAATGGTGTTCGAGGGAAATGCAGCTATAACCGAGGTCTAGACTCTGGTGAAATCGTTTGTGATTTTAAAAGTTACTTAAAATATTTTGGATCCATTCTGGCTTCTGACAGTGAATGAAACGGTGCCAATTATCTGTATAATGGTATTTTTGTGAATTGAAGCAATGACTAGAACTCGAAACTTTAAAAACAAAACTTGGTAAGCCGTGCAGTTGTAACGATTGTAAAGTAAATGTCTAAATGTATAAATGTTATACGGTGGAATTAGACTTTGATTCTGATTCCTGGAAGTGAATGATGCCAATATTTTCCTTGTGAACTGGAGCAGTGCTGAATTTCATGATAGCAATAACGTTTTGAAATTTTTGGAAAATAATGAGTTTGTGGATATTTTTTTTACTTAAAGTGATACATTTTTGGATGAATTCGTTGAGTTGGTGTTCACGTGATGTTCAAGAAACTTATTAAGTGGATTGTTGTATAATAGTCTTGATAATAGATTGTAAAAAAATTCGAAAATTGTCAGGAATCTCGAAGATGAATAAAATCTCAGATAAATGTAACGTTGAAGAAAGGTAAGATATAGTGCATTACCATTCTTTTATTGTCAATATCTTTCAGATTCCTGATACACTCTTAGTACAGTCTTCGTTGGCATGTTGCTTCACCACTTTTTGTAGAAATGTTTATGCGATGTTAAATTGATTTGAAGGTTGACGATTTTAAGCAAATTCTTTCATTGGAAGTACCAGATATAGCCTTTGTGGTTGTCGCAAACGATAAGTATCATTTGTATAATGTATTTTGGAAGCGATGGTATCATTAAAGTAAGTGAGATAGTTGCATGGATATGGTGTAAATTGGTGAACGTAATTTTATCAAAGCTGTTTTCGCTATTGACATTTTTCTGTAATGAAAGCTGTTTTATTGCCATGTGAACCAATTAACGCTACATGCTGATCTTTGTAAAGGTATAATTCAGGAACTACTAGAACAAATTTTTGTTTTCAAACCGATTTGTTAATTTTCTAAATCATTTTAAAATGTTTAATTGGAGGCAATAACATTCTTTAAATGGTCAATTTGGTATGAAAGCGGCTATATTTACAGACATTAATGTTCTGTTTTGGTCATTTAGCCAAAATGAAAGACCACTTTGTCTTTACCCATACCGTTTGAATTCTAATACAATCATTTTTGAGTTGAAAATGGAATGTAGTTTATGTTCTACTTTGCAGCTAATGAGGAGGGACAACGCATTAACAGTGTCGATTTTAAACTGTCAAGGGGTTTCTTCAAATTTTGTAGCATATGTCTTCGGATCACTATCCAATCCGATTAGAGAGGCTTTCTCCATGTCATCCTCGGACCTATGTAATGATCATGCTCATTCCGCTTGTTCATCACTCGCCTGTCCGGACTGAAGTTTACATTGTGATAAATTGCAGAATGTCATCAGAAGTTCATTTATGACACGTTTATCAGTGATAATGTTGTAATTAGTCGGTCAGTTACTGGTTTCATTTAATTTAATGTTCTGTTATCACCACTCTGTTTATAGTCTCTGTTCACTGTCATTCCACCAAATGCTGAACTTTAGTTAGGGTCACTTCCAAGTTTACAGTTATGGATGTAAAGAGGTTTCTTAGGAAATGTGCTGGGGGTAAAATTATATGATCAATGCGACTTCACAGGGTAGGTATGAATTGTTGTTTGTTTGTATAAGGTCAGTTATCAACATTTGTTATTCCTTACCAAAATTAATAGGCCTATAAATTGTTGATCTGTGATGGCTATTTGATATAAATTGTTGATCGTTATTTAAATTTTAATAGGGTGATCTTTAATAGTTAGGGCCTATGCAATGCTAGTAAGTTGACAATTGTTAATGTATGATAGTTATTTGGTAAAAAATATTGATCTGGTATGGTTATTCAACGTCAATAATTGTTGATCTGTCATGTTTATTCAATTGTTGATGTGTTATAATCAGTCAGTATAAATTGTTGATCTGTAATGGTTATCCAATATAAATTATTGAACTGTGATGGTTATTCAATATAAATTGTTGATCTGTAATGGTTATTCAATATAAATTGTTGATCTGTGATGGTTATTCAATATAAATTGTTGATCTGTATTGTTTATTCAATATAAATTGTTGATCTGTAATGGTTATTCAATATAAATTGTTGATCTGTAATAGTTATTCAATATAAATTGTTGATTTGTTATGGTTATTCATTGTTAATTGATTTGTGATAGTGATGCATTGCCCATTGCTGATCTGTCATGGTTATCCAATGTCAGTTGTTGATTTGTGATAGTTATTCATTGTCAATTGTTGATAAGTTATAATTATTCAATGTCAATTGTTGATCTGTGATTGTTATTCCATTGCAATTGTTGATATTTGATAATTATTCTGTATAAATTGTTGATTTGTTATGGTTATTCAATTTCTACTGTTTATCTATTATCTAGTTATTCATTGTTAATTGTTAATCTTTCATTGACCGTTCAACGACTATTGTTTATCGGCAATAATCATTCAATGTCAATTGTTGATTGTGTGATAGTTATTCATATCAATATACATTACATGCTTTTGATAGCAGTTTAATAAAATGTCCATGTTGTTATCCATTTTCTATTATTGATAGTTATTATAGTTCAATATAAATCTTTCTGTTATCCGAGACCAAAAATTATTACATATTTAATATATATTTTACATTTTTTATATTACCAGAACCACTTGCTCTGCAGGGTTTGAATATAGAATACTTACTATTTTCTTTCTAATTTCAGATCATTTCAAGAAGAAGTTCGTATTGGACAGAGTTGGTTGCATATTGATGGCATTTCAATCATACATTTATAGTATTTCACACTCTTGAATATAACTAGATTAATAGGTTAATAAAGAAATAGATAGTTTGAAGAAAGTTTGAAATATTTGCCGAAGAATTAGTGCGATAAGACGAGTTCTGTTCCGCTATAAAATGAAACTGTATAAGAGATCAATTTGGATATTTAATGTTTTGATATACATATACCAACATAACTGTATTTTGACTGATAATATTAGCGCCCAGATGGCCAATAATTTTATGAATTAAATGTAACATTGTGTTTATTTCTTTTTTACTGAAAAAACAGCGAAAACACACAAAACAGCAGGCTCAAATTATTTAAATGACTTTTTAATATGGATCGACGCGACGAAATCAGTGCTCACATTGGCGAAAGCCTTCAAGACTGCCTCATATATTTAGGAACTTCTAATTTTGAAAAAGGAAAGTTCTGTAATGCTACATGGGATGGATTATTGTGTTGGCCGCCTACAAGAGCTGGTTTGACTATCAGACAGTCGTGTCCGTTCAGTACCAGCCTAAATGCTTATGCGTACAAAGTGTGTAATAAAGATGGTACGTGGGCTGTTATTGGTGACCCAGAAACACATCCTGGAGGTCATAGCCCAGCCGGATATACGGACTACAGCCAATGTTTTCAACCAACTCCGATAGATTCTTCGACGTTACCGGAACAAGCTGTATTCTCGGACTATAACAAGACCATGAAACTTGGCGAGATTATTCAACTAGGACTTTCAAGCGTATCCATTGTTTCGTGTTTAATCGCCATTTTGTTTTATTTCATCATTACGAGGAAAGGTGTGAGATGTAAAATTGTGATTCCGTTGTTTTTATCTATTATGACATATCATTTAATGTCGTTGGTTGCCATGACACTCCGCCATGTTGACAAATCAGAAGACGCCGTTCATATGAGAGATTATTTCTGCCGTTTAGAAACGGTGATATGTAAATTTTGTGAGCTGGCCACCTACTCGTGGTTAATGATATTGATGATCTATTATCATCTAATAGCCATGTGTTATAAACTCACTACCAAGAAAATTCTTGTGCTCTACGTCATCGGTTCTGGGATTCCTATTATAACGACAATGACGTGGTATTTATCGGTTGTGTTTTTGATTCGGATTGAAACGTCCTGTTTTGTAGACTATTTTACTCATCCGACAATATGGCTGCCAATAACAGTCAAATTCTTATGTATTTTCATTATTCTGTGTCTATTGGTGGTGTGTTGCTGTGCATTTTGTTGTCTCCATGACGATGACCTTGACTTTTCAGATGATTTCGTTGTTGCTAGGCAGGGAATATTACGTGTGTTTATAGTAACGATGGTGATGGTTGCTATGGAAATATACTTATTGGTTAGTGATTTTTCAAAGGGAATTTCTGTCATAAACCTATACATTATTCATTATTTTATTTGGATTATTTGTACAACGACTAAAGGATTGATTTTTGCATTTTTTCTATGTTTTATCGATAAGAAAATATGGTCGTGCCAAACTACGCCGTCTGAAAGATATAACAAGGTAGAATCACGTGATAAGAAAATGACACCTATAACGAATTTGGAAGATATTTTTGGCGATTCCGACTAAGTGATGATTAAAAGATTGTGATATTGTATTGTTTGTTTCTTACTAGCTCAATTAGTATAAATAAATTCATTTAATTGTAGACTCGTGCTTGTTTTTAAAAGTTTCACACGATTCTCGGCGTGTGTCACGGAATAATAGATAACTCAAATCATTTAAGATTTTTTTAAGTTGTTAGGGCCTACGTCTTTGGCACATTAACAAATGCAGAAAACCATGCTAAAAATGTGTTGTTTTGGGTCAGAAGACAGTATGAAAAGCGGCCTTTTTGGTGAACAGCACTACTAAATTCATTGATATTGATTAATGTTTCATGTTCTGTTTGCGATGGAATACATTTCCAAATTTTAATTATATGGGCATTTCTGGACTCCTCATAAGGTACAAATCTAGCCATCTTCACAATGTCATGGTATATATACGAACAGTATTATAAGAAGAAGTTTCCTGTAAAAATGAAAGATAGCTTGCCAAGCAAGTTTTTAGTTTACATAAGCACACTGGAAAGAACAACTATTAAATTATAATAACCGGTAGAAAAATGTAAAATTATAGAATAGTCTCGATGGAGACTGTCATAGATTTTCAACCCCAAAGTCTTGACTCTTTCTAAACTTATTCAAAGAAACATCAAAAACTTTGTCTGATATTCAATTATCCCTAGTCCTCTAATTAGCATAATTAATTTGATTAAAAATTATCGGAACGTCGTTATGAAATACACACTGTTTGTTGTTCAAATTAAATTAACCTAAACAAAGGCTGTACTGAATTCTCGAGTGTAGTTGATCACAGTGTCGGAGCCACCCACACCTCCCGAAAATTGCTTGTACCCCTATATTGTACCACCACTTTATTTCTGTGAATTTTCAAAATATGATTTTTATCCCTTTTCTCCAAAATATGTATTAATGTACCAAGTTAATATAATTTTTAAAAAGACTCCTTGGCAGACTTACGTCTATGTGCTTTTGGCATCTCAATCCCAACAGTTGTTCCCCCAATAAGTCAGTCTGTCCACTATGTAAACGCCCAGTTCGAGGAGGCTGACGCCACCACTTGTTGGTCATTGGGGTTATACAGGAGTCAATAGTACTGTGTTGTTTGTTTATGAGGAATAATGATAAATGTAAACAATGCTGGGTGTATTTGGTTTGTTTTCCCGGGGGTAATGTATATGTCAATGAAATGTCGACGTTCCCCAAGAATAACTGACGTAATCTACTTGAAAATGCCAATCTGGCCTTGCCTTGGGGAAAATATGTTCATAGAATGATTTTGTTAACATAAATAGCCCAAATTCATTGTGATTGTGGGTTGGTAATATCAAAGTTATTTAATAACTGCTTTAGGAAAGAGTTTTGACACGACCTAAGGCTCGTCTGCGTGATTCTTAGTGTCTATTAAAACTTTTTTCAAAACCAAAAATTAAATTAAAATGAAACTTCATGAACGTTACGTCGATGTAGAACGAACCTCAGTATATGCAACTTACATTTAGGCATTCAAGTAAAATTCTAAGGAGAGGGGGCGCAAAAAACACAATCTCGTCTTTACGGGGCACTAAAATACACGTACCAGTATTACGTACGTAGATATATCCATACCGCTGCCTGAAAATATATTTATTTAGGTTGAGTAGCTTAAGAAATCCTTTTTGATAAGATATTCATTTCTTACGTCCACCTACAATACTCTAGAATGCTAGCTAGCACTCTGTGAAAACGGAAATATCTAGTGTTTAGAAAGTAAACAAATCAAGAGAATTTGAAGATATTCAATATTTCCAATAGCATCAATTAATAAAAATAGTTTCTGTCATGTACCAGATACCTTTAGTTTTGAAATATTTAGCTGTATGTAACAACTTGTCTAGTTTTTATTGATAGTAAATAGAACTTTTGACACCTGACGTAACACTATTGATAATGAAAGTGAAAGGTTAAAAGTGTGGGTAGAATTTCCTGACGTTTAAAAAACTTTACTCTAATTCAAGAAGACGTAATTAAATGAGCGCTGATTAGATCGAGTAGAACGGTATAAGGCGAATAATGCCATGCTTTGAGCAATGGGGAAAAGTGAGCAGTGATTGAAAGAAACACGAACGATGTCATGAGGACGTAGAACTGTATGTGGACAGAACAAAAGCGCCCGTCGCCCTTTCTAAAATTTTTTACGGACGATGATGTACGTCTTGATTTACCTTTCGCCCCTTGAATGATTTTAGTAATAATACCACCTCCACCCTCCCAGAGACCGCCGGCTTGGAAAGAGCCTGTACAGATGGGAGGAGCGCCATATTTTACCATCATTTGCTATGTTCGCCCTTCTTGAACCCACGAGCACCTGTCGAGTGTGGTACAAATACTTTGAAAACACTGTTTATTTTTATATTAAATCTTTTAGAATATTAGGCAACATTACAGGAAAGACGATCGTGTTTTTACGTGAATATGTAACCCAATAAATAGACCTTGAAAAACAGAATAAAATCTGTTGTATGATATTGTACACTTCGATTGTAAAACCCCCTGGACTCCACGTAATAACGTATGACGTTTTCGGGTTATATAAGAGATTTGATACATCCAAAAAGGACAGCTTCTTTTGGCATCAGTCAACATTTTTAACCTTTTTCTTAAATTCTAAATAATAGTTATGGTCCATAACAAATCGAAATATCTTCTAAATCATACTTAGCCGATAGAGCTCCGCCACAGATATCTGTATCATGTTTCAAAATGAAAATACGAATTCCAGTCCGTTACAATTTTCTCCAACATAAGCTTTATTATTAATTACGACGTTAATGTTAATAACGGCAAAGAGGCATTGAAGTTTCGTCACTTCCGCTGATTTGTAATTTGATAGTAATCGAACTAGCCGTTAGACTTTCATTCTGAAAAGCGATCTGGGTATGCTGAAATTGTGGCCTCACCTGATACAAGAAGAGTTTGGAGAACTATTCCTCTGAGTGGCAGTGATTTGGTTCAAACAGAAGAAAGCTGACATGTTGTCTGTTACGCGATTAGATGTTAGTGCCTCTGAAAGTATGCCCGATCTCATCTTTGGACTTCTATCAGGTTAAATTCTATTGAACGATTTTAAAGTCGGTCATGAAATTGGGATGAGTGATGATGAGCAATATGAAATCTGTAAGATATGGTACGAGGTAAAATAGCAGATATTTTATTTACCTAAATTAGTCGAGTATTTATCTACTATTTAACACTTCTTGTTTGTTACTCATCAAAATAAACATGATAATCACAAAGAATGTAGGTATTTCGTTAAAGTGGCTACGCATTACTACCATCACATACTCTCATACCGTGTCCAATCATCATCTAGGTTAGCAAAATCATGATGCTACAACCAATGTCGGATCTCAATCAGGTCCATGAGCGGTTGATATTAATCTCAACCGATCGACCGCAACAAGAAACTTTGTGATATAAGCTTTATCTAGTCATCTACCAACCAACCAAACATACAGACCAACCGGAAGTAAAATATGGCGGGAAAATGAACATTGCTAATAATTATGAAATTTGATAATCTGTGAGATAAGAAATTAATGTCCATTTGCGCATAAAATTGTACTTCCGTTTGATGACGCTTCCACGGAAGTTTGGCCATGTGTGTGACACCAAATTCACAAATGTAACTATTTATATTTGCCCCCCAAAAAACCTCATATTTTGATTGTATGGGAACTGAAAATACTAGCGTTAGGCTCCTTATATTTCACTTCACTATCCAGAAACTCATTGAATGGGAGGCTCAAAATACGTTTCTGGACAAAACAATCGAAATTACATGAACAGCAACTACTATACCAAAATACGTATTTACAACCAAACATAATTAGATTTGCTTTTCATACGAGAGCGTAATCTTTAAGAATTCGGTTTTGGAGCCAAGAAATGAAGATATCTAACGCCACTAAGTACTAAGATAGGTTAACAATTATCAAAGTTATAGCTAATTTATATGTTATGGTGGTAAAGGTGATATCTGACTTATCTGAAAGTGCTTTAATAACTTATCTTAATTTTCTAATATTTCTATGAATTGCCTCATATCTTCGATGTTTTAAGAGTTTTTGTCCACTTTTAAAGCACTTTAAAACATTAAGCACGTATATCATTTTAAAGTAGATATCAACTACTTGAATATTCAAACTTCAGAAAATTTTTAGATAAAGTGTTATCGCATCAATTCGTTATACGATATGATGTAAAACGCTACTTGTATGATTTAATTAATTCATTAATTCAATGTACTATAATACATCAATATTTCGCCAAAATGTTGTTTTGGATTTCGGCTTTCGCTTTGCCTTTTGTCATAATGATTTGTCATGGCATCATTTGCAATTAGGTACTATTGTACGAGTGATTTCTTTACGTCATGTCATTGGTATTCTGAACCAATAATATTGTGTTCTGAAAATACAACATATATTATTGTGTTCTGAAAATACAACCAATATAATTGTGTTCAGAAAATACAACAAATATAATTGTGTTCTGAAATAAACATGTTGTATTCTGACAAAAATATGTTATTAACGTATTCTGAGGAATATGCATAAATGAAATAAACCGAAACATTAAGCATGAGCCAAAATCAACCTCGAATGGCTAAGAATGGAGAACAGACATCATGTGAAGCAAAGGACACATCACAATTTTGTTGAATGGTTGGGATCGGGGACTACGGCACCTACGCAACGTAGTTCCCGGTGTCCATCAAGAACAAATCATTAAAATCATTAACCATTTACCAAATATAAAGACTGCATCTTTAACGTTTGTTTCAGAAACCACTGACAGCTAATTGTTACTGCTCGTTGGTATTCAACTGATTGAACACTTTAATTGGCAGAATGGCCAGAAGCCAGTTTGGTTCAGGTTTCTTCGTCACGGACAGTGAAAGTACGAAGATAAGAAAATATTATATATTAGACAAAACATTTATTATTAGGCTTATATATAACT